GTGAACTTGTTGCTGTGGGGTGGAAAATTTGTTTTTTTTTTTTTGTTTATCTTTGACTCTATATTTGGCTGGTGAAAGTTCTTGATAGTGTCTTTGTTTGTTTGTTTGTTTACAGTTGTTTGTTGTGTTGGCAGGTGTTTTATTGGTTGTGTTTGTTTGTTTCTTTGTTTGTTTACGGTTGTTTGTTGTGTTAACAGGTGTTTTATTGGTTGTGTTTGTTTGTTTACAGTTGTTTGTTGTGTTAACAGGTGTTTTATTGGTTGTGTTTGTTTGTTTACAGTTGTTTGTTGTGTTAACAGGTGTTTTATTGGTTGTGATCCTGACCAGGTGTTTCAAGGTGTTCGTGTTGGTTGATTGTTTCTATAAAAATAATTATTTACCGGAATTATTATTATTATTATTATTATTATTATTATTATTATTATTATTATTATTATTATTATCAATTAATTTAGAGAGAGAGAGAGAGAGAGAGAGAGAGAGAGAGAGAGAGAGAGAGAGAGAGAGAGAGAGAGAGTTTCCACATAACTTACAGCCGTTATCAGTTCATTCAATTACAAAAATAATAACTAGTTAAAACAATAAAAAAGTTAGATTATTAACTTATATGGTTAACTCACTTATAAAGACACTGATAAATACGAAGAAAATTGTATCATCATTAACTTAAGTGTTGTTGAGTACCTTACCTGTCTTATGAGAATCTCGTCAGGTAAACTATCCTTCCTACCTTACCCTGGTCATCCTTCCTCCCTTACCCTGGTCATGTGTGGGAATAGTTCTTACTTGTTCTCACACTATCACGGGAGAATGTTATTGATGTGTGTGTGTGTGTGTGTGTGTGTTTATGTATGCATGTATGTATGTAAGCAAGTCTAGACGTCTGTGTGCGTGTGTGTCGACCATCGTGTGTAATCGAGTGTGAGCGTTTATGTGGATGTCCGTGTGTACGTTCATGTAAGTTTATGAGCAGGGGGGGGGGAGAGGTAATTTGGCCTGTTGTGTTGGTTGGCTGACTCGCGTAATGTTACCTGTAATGTTATACTGGACTCATCCATACACAGGTAAACACACAAGGTAGGATACTATTTACACTTTATACCGTAGAGTTAATAGTTAGTGTGACGGGATGGGACCACACAGACAGATAAACAGAAACGGACAGGAAGGCAAGCAGAGAGATAGACAGGAAGACAGGTAGAAAGACGGACAGGTAGACAGACAGACAGGTAGACAGACAGACAGGTAGACAGACAGACGGGTAGACAGACAGACAGAAGAGACAGAAGGAGAGAGAGAGAGAGACACGTGGTGGTAAATATCTACTTTGTTCGTTTATCGATTCCCCAAACTTTTGAGATATTGCAGTTGATGTGTGTCGTTAGAGACGTACCGTGCTAAAGACGAACCCAGCCAGTCAGCCTCCGTGTGATATTGGGGAAATGGAGGATTACACACACACACACACACACACACACACACACACACACTCTAATGAAACCTGGCATTAAGAGGACGTTCATAACCAGCATTGTGACGAGATTAAATTTGTACCTTGTTGACCCGTTCTGTTTCTCGGTGCCGATTGAAAGCTTCAGTTTTAGCCAAATAGAATATTGAAAATGGCGCCCCGTAGTGAAGTGTTTAAAATGAAGACTCGAACTCGTGTACCTTACTTTAACGGGAATTAAAATGTGCAGCCCTCACGCCACCACCTACACACCTACACACACACACACACACACACACCACCTGCTGAGAGTTAAATGCCAGATGGAAAGTGTATGTGTGTGTGTGTGTGACGTGAGCCCGTGACGTATGAAGCATCACGAACTTCCTCCTCCTCCTCCCCCCTTCCTCCTTCTCCCCCTTCACTCCTCCTCCCCCCTTCCCCCCCTTCCTCCCCCACCCCCTCCTCCTCCTCCCCTTCCTCCCCCCTTTGCCTCCTCCTCCTCCTCTTCCTCCTCCTCAGCACAGAACCACTGAGTTATTCACACTCTTGCCACACCTTCTCATTGTGTCGTTCTTGGGGAGGAAGGAAAGGAAGAGGAAGAAAGGAGGAATAGAAGAAGGGAGAGAAAGGAAGAAGGGAGGGAAAAAGGAAAGGAAAGAAGGGGGTAAGTTGTGCTGTGGAAGGGTAAAGGAATGATTCTTTGAAGTTGGCACTGGGAGGGAGGAAGGGAGAGTACTAGTAGGGAGGAGGAGATAGGGATGATACTGAGGGAGGGAGAGGGAGGAGGAAGTACGAGGAGGAGGGAGATATGTGCTGGAGAGGGGAGGAGGAGAGACCAGTATGTGAGGAAGGAGAGAAAAAAGGGATGGCGAAGGAGGAAGCTTATGGAAGAAGGAAATAGGAGGAGAGGAAGGAGGTGAGTGAATGATAATGGATGTGTGTGTGTGTCAGCTCATCCGTCTTTCCGTCCGCTCATCCGTCAGTTCACCCTGCCTGTTTGACGGTCCGTTCTTCTCAGTGTGTACTTGGCCGCCCCACAGGATGAAACATGGTCTTCAGCGCCTTCGTCAGACACCCACCTTCCTCTCATTGTTTTGTTGATGTCAGTCACGGTTGATCCATTCTTCTCTAGGCCTTCCCCTCTCCCCTCTCCCATCTAGACCTTCCCCTCCCCCTCTCGACCTCCCCTCTGGTCTACCCCCCCACCTCTCGGCCTCCCCCTTCCCCCCCTCTAGACCTCTCCCCTCTCCCATCTAGACCTTCCTCGTCAACTCTAGGTCTTCCTCCCTTCCCATTCCTCTCCCTTATCTGCCTCCCCATTACCCCCATCAAGGAGGCTGTCTGTGACCCCTGGAGACCTGGTCATTCATCACCGTGGGTCACGAGGGAAGGGAAGGTCACTAATTACTCAGGTGGATCACTCACTCACTCACTCACTCATTCACTCACTCATTCACTCATTCACTCACTTCACTCTCTTCACTCACTTCGTTCATTCATTCACTTCACTCACTCACTTCATTCATCACGATGTGTTTGTTTATCCAGCAGTTTAGGTCGACGTGGGTAAATGGATCTTGTTCATGGTGGTCGGGTCTTTTAAGCCACTCAGGTGAGAATATATTTAAAAGGTGTTAGGAGCTGCCACTAACGTTAACACTACACCTGTAATTAGTAAGCTGTGTATCGTGTTCTAACCCAGGAAGACCAGACAGCATACCGACTACACTGGCTAATCTAATATTAAATCATAAACGGGTTACCAATTATTGCTGGGTACAAAGAGAGAGAGAGAGAGAGAGTGTGTGTGTACTTGCCCATTACCCATTGTTCTACCTTAGCATGAGAATCGAAGCCAGGTCCTCTCGTTGGCAAGATGAAAATCACTGCCCATTAAGCCACGTACAAAGGACCCCACGGGCAGTGACACGAACAAGTTGTACGTACACCTCATGTGACCTCCTCCATATGGCCTGACAACCCTCCTTTCCTACCTCCTCCTCCTCCTCCCACCTCCCTCTCCTTCCCCTTCCCTACATACTCCTCATCCCCCTCCTTCCCCTTCCCTACCTCCTCCTCCCACCTCCTCCTTTTCCTCTCCTTCCTTCCCTATAGCTTCCCATTCCCCTCCTTCCTTCTCCTCCTCCACCTCCTTCTCCCATTCCACCACTTCTCTCCCCCCTCCTTCCTCCGCCCTCTCCTTGCTTCCACCCTCCCCCCCCCCCCACCTTTCGCCCCCTTTTTCCTTCTCTTCCCTACTGTCTCCTCTTCCCCCTGTCTCCTCCTGCCTCCTCCTCCCGTCCCAAGAGGCCAGCATGTGACCCCTAGAGTCGTGGTCATTCATCACGGTGGGTCAGGAAGACATTAATTACTCACGTGGATGACTCACTCACACCTCATCCATCACTCTCGGGTTGTTTCTTTAGACATCTAGTTGACACATTCCAGACATACGGTCCAGGCATACGGTCCAGGCATACGGTCCAGGCATACGGTCACAGAGAGGTGGTTTATTCACACGGTACACAAAAAAAAAATTAAAATGCGTATATTATGTATATTTTTAATAGTTATGTCACGTGTATTCGCTTTACCCTTGAAGCTTCAGTAAACACACCTTCCCTTCCACACTAATGGGTAAATACTAATGGTCTCTCTCCAATAGCTTCTAATGGGTAAATAATGGTAGTCTTATCCACTCAAGACTTTCAATGGCCACACTTAATGGTCACGGAGAGAAAACTTTTGTATCGAGGCTTCAATTAATATATATTTTTCTGTTTCTTTCACAGGTAAGGAGTAATCAGCGGTGCTCAAGGTGTGTGATGTGAGGTAAGTAGGGAAAGGTGTGGTAGGTTGTGTGTAGGTCTGATGAGAGTAAAAAACTTTTTTATTGTCATTCTCGTTTTCCTGTTATCATCCCTTTTCCTCTTATTATCCGTTCTTTCTGTTTTCATTCTTTCTGTTATAATATGTTCCTTCTCTTATCCTTCTCTCTTCCTGTTATCTTCCTTTTTTCTGTTATCGTCTATTTACTTGTTTACTTTTTTATTTATTATTCTCATCTGCTTTTCTTGTTCTTCTTGTTTATCGTCAATTCCTGTGTTATTATTCTTTTGTTTCCTTGTTATTTATTTACTTTTCTTCCTCCTCTTTTATTAATTATCTCTTTAACCCCCTCCTTCTCTTTAGTAGTAGGTGGGGGGTTGTAGAAATAGCAGGCGTTTATGTTTGTGTGTTGGTGTTTGTCTGTTTGTGTATCTGTTTGTTTGTCCACTCTTTTGTTTGTGCATCCGTTGGCCTGTTCACCCGTTTGTTCATGCACCCATCTGTCTGTTCACCCGTTTGTTCACCCATCTGTCCGTTCACCCGTTAGTCTGTTCACCCATTACTCCGTTCACCCATCCGATTTAGTGGCCACGATTAGCTCGAACAAGTAGCCGGATTTGGTCACTGAGAATAGATGAATCAGAGCAAGTAATTCGGACGAGTTGTATAATCAGCGTCTTTCATCATTATACACGAGCTATGGCCGTGTTGCTGCTCCTTACTGCTCCGTGTTGCTGCTCCTTACTGCTCCATGTTGGTGCTTCTTGCTGCTCCGTGTTGGTTCTTGTTGCTGCTCCGTGTTGGTGCTTCTTGTTGCTGCTCCTTGCTGCTCCGTGTTGCTGCTCCTTGCTGCTCCGTGTTGCTGCTGATGAAAGAGGAGGAGGGAACTGGGTTATCACTGGTTGCTTGTTCTCGCTGTTATTCTTAGTTTCTCGTCCTTCTATCATCTTTTGTTTGCTATTTATTGTGTTTACTTGTTAGTTATGGTGTTTATCCTATTTATTGTTTCTTCCCTATTTACTAATTTCTTTTCCTTTATTTTTCCCTTATTCCTTTCTATTTCTTCTCTTCATTTACTCTTATTTACCACCATTCTACTTTCTTCTGTATGTCATCTCTCTCTCTCTCTCTCTCTCTCTCTCTCTCTCTCTCTCTCTCTCTCTCTTGTTTAGTTGTTTACATCTATTCCTTCCTTCGGTGTGGGGGAAAATAATTCTCTTTTTACTTTTTTCCCTAACTGCCACAGGGGGAGCAGGGAAATTTCTCCACCGCCTCTCCGTTCGTCCGTCCGTCCACTTTTCTGTCCGTTTATCCGTTTGTGGTTTTTTTTGTAATTCCTCTTCTTCTTCCTCCTCCTCCTTCTACAACTCTTACTTTTCTTCTCATTCTCCCTCCTCTTTTTTGTTCTTCTCACTCTTCTTCGCCTTCCTCTTTCTCCCTTGTGTCTTCTTATCACTCCTCCTCCTCCTCCTCTTCGGCCACCATTATCTTACCCCGGTGATCTTGACCAATAGAAAGTCGTCCTGATTAACACTAATTTCTGACTGGCTGTTTTTTTTTCTTCATCTCTTGTTTGTTTTCTCTTGCTCTGATATGTGTTGCCCAGACAGACAGACAGACAGACAGACAGACAGATAGACAGACAGACAGACAGATAGACAGACAGACAGACAGACAGACAGACAGACACAGACAGACAGACAGACAGACACCATCTAATAACAACACTGGGCCTCTGTGTGTGTGTGTGTGTGTGTGTGTGTGTGTGTGTGTGTGTGTGTGTGTGTCTAATTACAGGTAGACTTTTGGTGGTAACAGGTGAGCCAGTGGACGGAAGCGGTTACACGCCTCCCCCTCCCTTGTGGCCTGACGATGGGAGAGGAGGTGGTGGAAGAGGAGGTGGTGGAGGGGAGGAGGAGTAACGGGTAAGAGGGAAAGAGGGACGAGAGGGAGAGGAGCAAAGACAAATGTACAGACACAAGAGGAAAGGAAGGAGTCACGGAAAGTAAGAAGAGGAGGGAGAGAGGTAGAAGAGGAGGGAGAGAGGTAGAAGAGGGGGGAGAGAGGTAGAAGAGGAGGGAGAGAGGTAGAAGAGGGGGGAGAGAGGTAGAAGAGGAGGGAGAGAGGTAGAAGAGGAGGGAGAGAGGGGAGAGATCAAGGTTGGGGGGACAGCACGTACTGCCCCATCTTATCCCCCGACAACCACAACAACCCCTTCCCTCACCTCCCTCCCTTCCTTCCTCCTTTCATTCCTCCTTTCCTCTTTCTCCCATCCTCATGATTCCCTCTCCTCCTCTTTCCAACTTCTTCATTCCCATTTTTTCTCTCCCTTTTCCTTCCTTCCTCCCTCTCACAATTCCCTCCCTCCCTCCCTCTCATAACTCTCACCTTCCCTCATTTGCCTCTTCCTTCCTCCCTCTCACTGCTCCTTCATTCTCACAATTCCCTCTTCATTCTTCCCATTTCTTCCCTCTTTCTATCTTCCCTCTCTCTTCCTTCCTCCCTCCCACAGTTCCCTCCCTCAAGCAGTCCTCACACCTCCTCCACGTCTGGGAAGGGTCTGGCACGCACTCCTTATCTCCTAATTCCCTGGGAGTTATTCTGATCCAGTCTTGCTGTGAGTGCCTGGCCTCCTTCCCCCGGTACCTCTCCCTCCCTCCCTCCCTCCAGGTACCTCCGGCTTCTGCATCATTGTTGTTGTTGCTTGTTGACTTTAGAGTGTGTAGTTGTTGTTGTTGTTGTTGTCCATTACCTCTTGTGGAACTACTGAGTGCTCCTCTCTTCCTCCTCCTCCTCTTCCTCCTCCTCCTCCTCCTCTCTTCCTCCTCTTCCTCCTCCTCCTCCTCCTCTCTTCCTCCTCCTCCGTACCTCCCAGCCTGATGTTCTATTAGGAAGCTTATTTATTTCCTCAGATTATCCAGGTTGTTTGAGTCTGCCTCTTTTATCTTCCCATTTTCTCTCCCCATTCTCTTTTTAACCATTTAACCTCGTTCCGTTTTCTTATCTTTTACATTCTTAATTTCTCTTATCTTGTTATTTGTTTTGTATGCATTGCCTACCGTTTATCAGTCTTATCTCTGTGCTTCCTCTTTATTCTTTCATCCCTTGTCTATCTTATGGCTTTTGTTATTTTCTTCTTTTATTCGTTCCTTTGTTTCTATTATTTATTATTTTTCTCTCTCTCTCTCTCTCTTCTTTGCGTTGATCTTTACTCAGGTAAAATTTTCTCCTCTGTTGATGATGTTGCTATGGTAACAGGTGAGGGATATCTCTCTCTCTCTCTCTCTCTCTCTCTCTCTCTCTCTCCCCCTCTCTCTCTCTCTCTTCCTACCCCCCTCTCTCTCTTCTGCCTCTTCATTCGTCTCTTTCCCCTACCCATGTTTTCACTTCCCATCTCCCCACTCCTTTCTCCGTCCCTTTCACCATTTTACTAAATAAGAGAATATCTTTTTTTCTTTTTTTCGTTCTTGCGACTTTTGCGGGTAACGTGTGGCGACAGGTTACATACATGCATAGAAGATCTGGGACAAGGAAGATAGTTGAGGAGAAATAAGTGTCGTACTGTTGCAAAGTTACGGTGAAAATAAGTCGCAACGTTGCAAAGACATGGTGTAATACTGTAGTTGTCGTCGTGTTGCAAAGACAGATAGAGCCAAGTGTCTCAGCATTGCAAAGAAAGGGTGAAATAAGCGTTGTAAGACATGTGTGAGAAAAAAGCATTTGCAAAGTCGGGGTTGAAATTAGTGTGGCAGCGTTGGAGAAGTGAGTTTCTCCTTCCTGTACCAAGACGGTGTGTAATGTGCCATGATCGTCTGCCAGCCACTGAGAACGTTCCAAGAGTGTGGTTGTACCGTAGAGGTCACAGTCTGCCTCCTTACTGGGCAAACATCGTCCTTATGGGAGTTTAAACATCTTTGGGTGGGATGGAGGAGGAGGAGGTGGGGGTGGGGATGATATTCCTGGCGCCTGGTGGAGTCTGAGGCCACGACGACGAAGGCGATGACGACGATGGGAAAGAATTGCGAGGGATCTTCCTTGAGCAGTAGCAAAGGGGGTAAGATAGGGTGGGGGATAGTGGGACGGAGAGAGGAAGAAAGAGAGAGAGAGAAGGTAGGGAGAAAGAGAGGTAGGGAGGGAGGGAGGGAGGAAGGGGGACAGGTGATATCAGTGGGTGTTAGAAAGTACGACTGGCAGGTGGAGGGAAACTGGCTGGCTACTCTCTGAGGTCTTACCTGCTAAGTGACCTGCTTACTGCTGTGAGGTCTGACCTGCTAAGTCTTAGCTTGACCTGCTTACTACTTATGGAACCTGAACTGCTTACTGTTAATGTGACCTGACAGCTTGACCTGCTTATACTGATAGGGTAGTTCGGTCCCAGGTCTCAAGTCTTAGGTCATTACTGTTATATTCTCATTACTCTTAAGATAAAACACATAAGGGTCAAGAATATAAGGGATCAGAATTATCATAGGTTCCTAAGTCAATTTTCTCCTCACCTGCTGCCTGGAGATGTGTGGATGGCCTTCAGAGACTCGTTTCAGTAATGACAATGCAGACGACGGCAAACATGGTATCGACATTACACCGAGAGTCTACCATCATCTCGTTTGAACTGACGTAATACTTTCTGTCTTTTGTATACTTGAATTGTCTGTGTACAGTCGCCTCAGAGTTCCTTTCCCCTCTGTGGTGACGTTTACATACTTGTGGCAGTGTCGCAATACTAAACTAATGAATGGATGGTTAGTAGTATTGTAACGATGGAGCTGATTGGTGGACAGTAGCTATTTATCATTGTATTTTAAGCGTTGTTTACGGTGTTGTGGGAGACTGGACTATGCTGCCTTAACTCCATGGACTATGCTGCCTTAACTCCATGGACTATGCTGCCTTAACTCCAGTTGATGGGAGACTCATGTAGGAAAATCTGTCTCCGTTAACCTGGGAGTTCTGGTGAATTGAGGTCCAGCTCTCAGAAGGTTGAAGGATATGTCACCCTCGTACCTGGTCCTTAAGATGGCGGACGTGATGATGATGATGTCACCCTTGTACCTGGTTCTTAAGATGGCGGACGTGATGATGATGATGATGTGTCACCCTTGTACCTGGTCCTCACGTGTCGTTGAGTCGTGATGTACCTTGTGATAATGTCCTGCGGTATATCCTTGAGGACACCGTAGGAGTCTTAATGGCCAACGTAGCCTCATAATTCTCGAGAGACTGAAAGACTGCTTAGTGTAGGATACCTGATGGTGACAGGTGTGGGTTAGATGATGACAGGTGTGGGATAGCTGACGATAACAGGTGTGGGGTAGCTGATGATGACAGATGTGGAATAGTAATGGAGAATAAGACAGAAAAAGGAATATGATTAAAAAATGATAAAAAATACAAAGAGTGAAGATAGGAAGAAGAAATAAGAGAGAAAATTAGAGAACGAAATATTGTAACATGAGACAGCGGATGATTATAGGTTAGGAGGAGAACATGTCATTATTGAAAGAGACTTGGGAGAACTTAGAGAATAAAAGAAGTATATATAAACACCAGAATAAAGATAGGAGAAACAGATATAAAAGCAGATAAGAAAGATAGAATCGGAAGAACAGGTATAAATTAAGATAAGAACGAGAATATAAGATAAAGAAGTAAAAAAAAATTACAATTTGAAAAAAAACAAGAATGGGGATAAAGAATAATAATAATAAAGAGGAATAAGTAAAAATGACATCAAAGGCCAACAAAAATAAAATAATAATGATGAACTAAAATAAAATAATAAAAACAAACTGAAATACAATGAAAAAAATAAATAAAAAATAAAGAAAAATATCGAATAAGTAAAGATAAAGGAGGATAAAGTAAAGAAGAAGGAAGAGAGCAATAAAGATCAGGTGTAAAGATAACTCAATCAGCTCAGGTGTGTGTGGATCAGGTGGTAACATCATTAAGCACTGACAGGTAAAAACAAAACACAACTCTCTAAGGTAAGTGTTTGTAGCCGTGAGTGATGGTGTGTGGTGTAGTGGTGGTGTTGAGGACCTGTTTGTGGTGAGTGTGGTGTAGTGGTGATGGTGTGTGGTGTAGTGGTGATGGTGTGGTGTAGTAGTGGTGTGAGGGCCTGTTTGTGGTGTGTGAGTTGAGTGTGGTGTGGTGATGGTGTAGTGGTGATATGATGACCTGCTTATGGTGTGTGAGATGTGCATACCTGGTGGTGGTAGTATGGTGGTTATAGTAATTGGCAAGTGAATGTAGGTTAGGTTAGGTTAATCTACAGGTGAATGCAGGTTAGGTTAGGTTAATCGACAGGTGAATGCAGGTTAGGTTAGGTTAATCGACAGGTGAATGCAGGTCAGGTTAGGTTAGATAATAAGAAACTATTAAACAAAATGAATAAATAAATAAAAATAGTGACTGGAACAAACAGATTGAGAATTAATAAACGGAATATTAAGTAAACCAATTAAATACATCCTGAGAGAAATTATTAAACCGTCTCACCACACTACGTTTTCTATGCTTGATAAACCTGTAATCATAGAACAAGACAGAAAACGTAGCCGGTGAGGTGATGGGTGGGTGGGTGCCCCGCGATATGAATTGACACTTAAACACGAGGTCAAACACGAGGTCAAACCAAGGTCACTTAACTACAGATAAGGTCACATGGATCTGGTGTTAGGTCAGGTAAATAGACGGATAGACAGGGTTAATTCACAGACAGACAGGCATGGTGCACAGGTAAACAGAGAGACAGACAGACAGATACAAACGGACAGTAATAATACCCAGACAGACAGACAGACAGACAGACAGACAGACAGACAGACGGATGCAAACAGACAGGAATAATACACAGACAGACAACAGACAGACAAGAGATAAAGATGTTATATGCTTCTATATCATGACGGGGGATAATTTTATTTAGATCATTATTATTATTTTTTTATGATTTCGGTGATTATTTATTTAGTTATTCGTTGTTCCTCTTCGTCTCTTTTATCATCTTTATTTTTTTATGTCATTATTTACGTGGTGGTAACCCCAACTTTCATACTGACCACATCCAGTGTTTTTAAGTAATTGTGCTGGTGTGGTGTATAACCTGTTTTCTTATCTGTGGCGTTTATCGTTCTCTCTTTTATCTCTTTTTCTTTTCTCTCCATCCTTTCTTTTCTTTCGGTCTCTTGACTTTTCTCTCTCATCCAATTTAAATAAACCACAACTAATATCCCCAAACAACTTCAACCTTTACATACAGAATAAATAAGACTCATAATCTCTATCTCTATATATAAAGTTCCACTGAATAATATAATATGGCTCATTAACTCACCACTATAGCATAATATAGCTACTATAACCCGGTCTATAGGCTCCTGTTGGCTATAAGCATCACTAATATACGCTATAGCTTGTGTAATATAACCCCTCCCCTCCCTCTCTCTAATATAACACCCCCCCTTCTCGTTATACTACAAATGGTTGCGTATTTGCGTATTATTGCGTATTATTAGTCTATTGCGTAATGAATATAATTGTTCTGTTTATATTTTTATTATTGAATTGGGATGTGAAGTTGGTGGTGTTAATTTGAATTGTTTAGGGTGTGTTAGGGTGTGTTAGGGTGTGTTAGGGGGAGGAAGAGGAGGGATTTGGGTTGGATTGGTTTTGTGTGTGTGTGTGTGTGTGTGTGTGTGTGTGTGTGTTTGTATGTTTTTCTTCCATCGTTCATCTCCTTCTTTCCCCCACTCTTTTTTTTTTTTTTTTCATCCTCCTTCCTTCCTTTTTTTTTTCTTTCGTATTCTTTTTCCTCATTTTCTCTTAATTCCTCTAGACATTTTTACTCTCTCCCTCCCTAGTTGCCCCTAGTAACCTTCCTCCCCCTCCAGTAGAACACAGATGAAATTCACCTTTTGCTAGCCATCCTTGCTATTACCCCCTTGCCTCTTCCTTCCTAGTTTATCACCTGTTTGCTAGAGCCAGGTAAGAGGGGGGAAGGGGGCTAAGGTGCTCAGGTGCTCAGGTGAAGGGGTTGGATCAGGTGCCTTTTTGGGGTATTAGGTGATGGAGAGTTTGAAGGAGGTGGGGGGGGGGTTGTGTTGGAGGTAGTGGGTGTGTTGGAGGAGGATGTTGGAGATAGTTATTGGTGGTTTTGTTGGAGGTAATGGTTGGTGAATGTGTTGGAAGAGGCTCTTAATTAATTCTTGGTGTTGTTGGAGAAAGATGGAGCTAGTGGTCTCTCTCTCTCCCCCTTCTTATCCTCCCCTCCTCTCCCCATTATAATCACCCCGGGCACCTTACTCTATTACTCCCTCTCTCTTAAATGCTCTCCCCGTGTCATGAGTCATATCCAATTCCCTAATCTAAAAAAAAGGGGGTTATGTGTAAGGAGACCCGCCTTGCCCCTCTCATCCCCCCCTCTCATCTTCCCCTCACTCCCTCTCCCCTTCCTCTCATCCTCTCTCATTCCCTCTCACCTTCCAGTATCCCTCCTCTCATCTCCCTCTCACCCCCTCACCGTGTTAGTCATCTTTATCATCGCCATCTTCTTCTAGTCAATTTGTTATCGTTTGTCATCGTCTGCTTTACGCTTTCTATCTCCTTATTCTTTTATTTTTTCTTTGTCTCTTTCCATTTTCTTTTCACATTTTCCTCGTCTTATGTTCGTTATTGTGTTTCGTTTATCTCTCTCTCACATCTTTCTCCTTTCGTACATTTTCTTTCTTTCCTTTTTCTCCTTCTGTTTATCTTACTCTCGTTTCTCCTCCCCCTCCCCTTCTTTCTCCTCGTTTACTCTCATTTCGTATGTTTTTCCTCCTCCCTACTTTTATTTTCTCTTTCTTTTCCCCTCTCTTCCTTTTCTTCTCCCTTATTATTCTCCTCTTCTTCTATTATCCTCCTCTTTCTCCTTCCTTTCCTTTTTCTTCTTCTCCTCATCTGTTCTCTATTCTCCTCCTTCTCTTCTACTTCTTCCTCCTCATCCACTTCCTCCTCCTCATCCTCAATTTCCTTTTTTTCCTCCACTTCTTCCTCCTCCTCCTCCACTTCTTCCTCCTCCTCCTCCTCCACTTCTTCCTCCTCTTCCTGACTTCTTCCTCCTCTTCCTCCACTCCTCCTCCTCCTCCTCGTAACCAGTGGAGTGTGTCACTTCCCCTCGTCCTCGAGCGGAGTTTATGCCAGTCTTCCTTAGCTTGAGGCGGAGTGGCAGAGCGGCCTGAGTTGTAACTTATAACTTACAACCTACTTACATGGTCCCCACAACTTACACGACACTTACAAAAGATTATCTATCTATCTATCTATCACTCTCTCTCTCTCTCTCTCTCTCTCTCTCTCTCTCACGGACGCCAGCCACTAGGAAGACTCAGCCCAAATAACCTCACATCAACACAGGCAGTCATGCACAGCTCTCCGCCCACACATACACACACCTCGTCATGCAGCAGAAGTCTTCAGGGTACCCAGGTTGGTTCTCCTCCTCTTCCCCTCTTCCCTCCTCTTCACCCCCTCTCACCCCCCTCTCCCACCCCCCTCTCCACCCCCCTCTCCCCCCCCTCTCCCCCTCTCCTCTCTCTCCTTCTCCCACTGGCTTTGTGTGTGTGTGTGTGCATGGGTATCCTGTTCTAAAAGACGTGAAATCAGGGAGCCTTGTGTTGTGGTGTCCTCGTGGTCTCAGTCTCCCGTCAGGAGAGGCATGAAGGAAGGCCTAGGAGGAGACGTCTTTTTATTTTGGGTTTCAGTTTTTTTTGTTTTGGTGTTTTTTATTTCCTTTTTCGTGTTTTTTTTTCTTCATTGTTTTGGTTTAGTTGGGGGGAAGAGTTATTTGTGTCTTGTGTATCTCCCTCTCTCTCTCTCTCTCTCTCTCTCTCTCTCTCTCCTCTCTCTCTCTCTCTCTCTCTCTCTCTCTCTCTCTCTCTCTCTCTCTCTCTCTCTCTCTTTGTTATCCTGTTATTACCAGTTGCTTCTAAACATCTGTTATTTACACCTTACCACTCCCTATTATCACACTTTGCTATTTCCTATTGACTATTTCTACCTTTCGTTCATTTCATGTTATTGCTAGTAGGTATATAAATAGCAATACTAGTTTATAATATTTTTGTGTATATTCTGTCATCATGATATATGTATTTCTGTATGTTTTCAGCAGTAGGTATACAGTAGGTGTATAGTTTTTGTGTATGGTAAGAGCCCTCGCACCGTATGTCAGTGCTGGTAGACGGAGAGTATGGGCCCGGCGTCACCCATTTGCTCAGCCTCTGATAACGACAATAAAATTCCCATAAAACGGTAATGGATTCTGTTTGGAGCCATTTTATGCCATATGGTGCCCTTGGAGGTAGGGAGGTCAGCCAGGCAGGTCGTTTTGGTGGCCTCGTACGAACCTCTGGTGATCTTGTGCGATCTCTAGTTGTCATGTACGACCTCTGACGGCCTTGCACGACCTCTGACGGCCTTGCACGACCTCTGGTGGCCTCGCACACCTCTGAAAGCCATGTACGACCTCTGGCGGCCTCGTACGACCTCTTGTGGCCTTGTACGACCTCTGGTGGCTTCGTACGATCTCTGGCGGCCTTGTACGACCTCTGAGGGAGAGGTCGTTGTAACGGTCCACCTCTCTTGAAATTTGAATCGATGGGAGCGTCTCTTGTGTTCTCGAATCTATGGACGGAATGTTTACACACACACACACACACACACACACACACACACACACACACACACACACCAAACGTCACCAAATAATCGACATTTCTGCTTTACTTTGCCATAATTATATACCTTCTGAAAGAAATATAAACGATGAAATATGAACAACTAGGAACCATATTATTCGTTCACAAAGGCAGCTTGATACACAGTGAATGAAAGATGAAAAATTAAAAAAATTAAAAAAATGCTAAATTGACGGGGGTGGGTTGTATATACAGTGACGGACCGACAATAGCTGCTCAGGACACACGATAATGAAGAACCGAATTTTCCCATCAGCCTCCCTGCAGCGCCGCATTCACAGTTATTTCCCCCGAGGAAAATCCAAGGGGAAGAGGAGGGAGGGAGGGAGGCGAGTGGAGGGAGACGAGGGAAATGTGTGAAAGAAAACGGAGCTTTTAGTTTTAGAGAAAATGTGTCTCGAGGATTGAATGGGAGACAGAAGGAGGGTGAAAAGAGTCCTCCTTCCTTCATAATAAAAGAGACCCAATTCCCTCTGGGGGTAGGGATTGTTCTCTCTCTCTCTCTCTCTCTCTCTCTCTCTCTCTCTCTCTCTCTCTCATGAACATATGAATCGATGACGCTCTGCAATTTTGTTTTTCATGGATTGAAGAAACATTTTGATTCGGGTCTTGTACTGAAGTCATTGTAGAAACTAAACACCAGCCACGTCGACCTTAACACTTTAGATACAACACTTAAGAGTTATGCGAATTGAGATGTTCCAACAACTTGATTCTCTAAAGCTCTTAAGTTAAAATTCCTCTTCTCCCACATAACCAACCACACAAATATGGCAACTACAATAGCGAGAAATGTTCCACAAACACCAAAACGCAACGAGACGTAATTTTCTCACAAGACGTAATATTTCTCACAAGACGTAATATTTCTCACAAGACGTAATATTTCTCACAAGACGTAATATTTCTCACAAGACGTAATATTTCCCATCGTACGGTTAGGAAGCCTCACGTACTGTACTGTACTGCATAGCCTATAGTGACTCACCGTCCAAGTCAGTTCCATGGCCAAAATAGCGTCCAGACCTTACAAGTGAGGAATTAACGCCCCATTGTTGTGGTCGTCGGCAGCAGTTGTGATTGATGCCCGTCTGGCCTCTCCCTCCCTCCCTCCCTCCCTCCCTCCTTCCTTCCTTCCTTCCTTCCTTCCTTCCTTCAAGGCCTTGATTCTTATACAAACCTGAATAACTTTTTTTTGTCTTTCCCAGCGGACGATATGTTAGAGGCGCCATTTTTATTCTTCCTTCACGGGATGTAAATTATCTTGTGGTTGTTAGTGTTGTTATAGTTCGCCCCCCCCCACCCCCCCCCTTCGCTGTTCCTACCAATACTTCTACTAGCTCCCTCCCTCCTTCCCTCCCTCATTCCCTTCCTTCCTCCCTCCCACATTGTCTACCACACTTCACCAGTAACACCACTCGTATTCCTGTTCCTCCCTCTCTCCTCCAGCACCCTACTCTCCTCCTCCTCCTCTCCCTCCTCTCCAGCCCACACATACTCAAGCAGCACCACACCTCCCTCTTCCTCCCCAAATACTCGAACACCCCTCTCTCCTCCCACTCCTTCAGCAACCCTCTCTCCTCCCACTTCTCCAACAACCCTCTCCCCTACCACCCACTCCAGCACTCCTCTCTCTCCTCCTTCACCCACTCCACCAACACCTGTCTCCTCTCCTCACTTCTTTTATTTCACCAACACCCTCACCAATCACTGGACCAGCACCCCCCCCCCCCCCCCTCCCTCTCTCCCTCATTCCCCAACCACTCACACCAGCACCCGTCCCTACCGTGTTAGTGTATGTATGTATGTATGTATGTATGTATGTATGTATGTATGTATGTATGTATGAAGAAACCAAAGTCGTGTAGGATATATCATTGCCTCTGCCTCTCATAACCTCAGTGGGGGGCCGTCTCGTTGCATAGGTCGTTGGCGATAGTTTGCGGTCGTAGATACTTTACATTGGATAGACTCAAGGGTCCATTGTCTTAGGGTTTTATTGATATAGGATAGGAGAAGAGGGTGATGGTGGCCTGTTAGTGGTGGATATTGGGGAGAGGAACAAGGTGGTGGCTGACGAAGGGGGTAGTAGTGGTCCTGGGTTACATGTGCTGCTGGGGATTCAACGTGATGTTACTGTAGCTTCCTGTACTGGGTTGTGGGTTCATGTTGTGGTTGTGTGGTTTTTTTTAGTCTGTTGAATTGAGTTTTTTTTTTTTTTTTTCTGTTTGTTTTATTGTTGTTTTTGTTGTTTGAGGTAATGTTTGTTTATATTGAGATGAGTTGCCTGTTTTTGTTTTTAATGCCTTATTTTACACCTTGTTTACTACCTCACTTAATTAACACCTGTCTCACCAGTACCTGTTCTATTCTACCTGAGTTGAGATCACCTGAAGAATCTCCACCCCAGATTATTTCACCTAAAGATTAACCACCCTAACGCTCTTGGTGGGATGAGGTTAGGTTAGGTTAGGTTAGGTTAGATTAAGTTAAGTCAAGTTAGATTAGTTTCAGTTAGGTTGGGGGTAGATTAGAATAGGTTAGGTTAGGTTAGAAATCCGCACTAATCTACGCCTCAAGAAATCCGCATTAATCCGCGTATGTAGCACTCATCAGGTGGTGGTAATCTCTCGCGTTCTTGAGAGCTTGAGGGGGAAATCCGGATTTATTGTGTATCTGTTGTCGTGTTTTCCCGCGAGTCTGTTTATTTCACCTTCACAACCACGTAGACTACCTTCACAACCACGTAATTACTTTCACAACCACATACCACACACAACACTTTGGCTCCTCGTCAACTAAGAATCGTATTCCGTGATCCAATTAGCGAGCAAGAAAACATTTGGGCACCTGCGGTAAACAACAAGAACAGCAAAATCAATAACAACAAAATCAATAACAAAATTCATAACAAAATCGATAACAAAATCAATAACAACAATAACAAAATCAATAACAACAATGACAATAGCAACAGCAACAATAAAAACAACAATGACAACAATAACAACAATGGTGAGAAAGAGTTGGAAAAATATTGATACTGTACACTGGAAATGTTCGCGTTTTCTATACCAGGAGGTTGAGAAAACTGAGAGGGGATACTTCAGAATCTCTCTCTGGAGTGAACGAAAGGTGAGAGAGAGAGAGAGAGAGAGAGAGAGAGAGAGAGAGAGAGAGACATGGGCCAGATTTGACTTATTTGGATTTTTTTCCCTTGTAAATGTACACTTAAAAGTAATTAGGAACTACAGTACTATTAAATCATAAGGAAAAAAAAGAAAATTTAATTGTTCTGTAAAATAGTAAAAGCTCATATTATTATTATTATTATTATTATTATTATTATTATTATTATTATTATTATTATTATTATTATTATTATTATAAATCTTTCGTCACATGTGCTCATCGTTAGGGAGTGGGAGGCGATGGTGTGAGGAAAGGCAGTCACAAATAAACGACCATCACATTATAATCAATACAACCCTGTGTGTGTAGGATGTTGCTCAGGTGTTGTGGTGATGTGGATGTTGTTATGTTGTGTCTTAGTGATTCGTGAGAGAGAGACTTGTGTTGTTATCTCGAAAAAGTATTGCTTGAGTGTTTTGAAATATATTGTGTTGTGTGTAAAAGTGTTGTTCAATGTTTCCATTCATTTTGTGATGTAAATGATGTTCAGCAACACAGTCAACACCCACTTGAGGCTTTAATGCGAGTATTAGTTTTGCTTTGTGTGACTTACGCCAGTGGGAGTTATTCAATGGTATTTTTCAGTTAATTTAGTGCAGTCTAGGACAACGGTTAGACAGTTTAATACAGTCTCGGACAACGGTTAGACAGTTTAGTACAGTCTAGGACAACGGTTAGACAGTTTAGTACAGTCTAGGACAGCTCTCCGTCACCCATCATAGAAAACGGGTCAGACCCACGCACAGAATCTCGCCTCCCTTCAGCAGCTGACAGTGCCAGAGCAGCCAGGAGCCTGCTGGCTGGCTCACTGACTGTCTAGCCGGCTATGTCGACGAACACTTACTGTAATTAATAGCTAAAATATATGGCCTTAATTCCCGTACACAAAACACTAGCTGCCATGCACTGATCATGGCGGGTGGCTGGCAAGGAGGCGTGGTGAGGTACACTCTGTCGTCCTGATAATTATGATGGCGGTCGATGATTTTGTACAAATAACCGACGGATCACGTGAAGATTAGCCCCAGCTTGTTTCAATTAATTATTAAACATCCTACCACTAACGTGACCTAACCGAATCTAGTCTAATCTAAACTAATTTAACCCACCCCACCCCACCTCACCCCACCTCACCCCACCCCACCCCAACCCAACCCACCCCAACCCAACCCAACCCAACCCCACCCCACCCCAACCCAACCCAACCCAGTTATAACAACAACAACGAAGTACGCTGGGGTGTCTAATCTTCATGTGCTAAGAATATAATCTTTTAGTCTAAGTAATTATGAATAAACTCACCAGCCAACGACTCAGTCTTGGTGACGAGGTGAAAGGTAGTGTTGACAACCTGGCTGCTGCCGCCTGGTGCCACCCAAACCCTGCTCGTCAGTGCCACACGGCGTCAAGTGCCACGTTAAAGGAGCCATTATCTCGTTGGTGACAATTGCCTCTCCACTCTCTCCGTGACGTGAGTTGGGCCTCGAGTGTTGAGGGAGGTGGAGGGTGAAGAAGTGAGAAAGGTGGAGGGTGAGGGAGATGGAGACTGAAGGAAGTTGGAGACTGAAGGAAGTTGGAGACTGAAGGGTGAAGAAGGTGGATGGTGAGAGTGAGGGAAGTGAAGGATGGTGGGGGATGGAGGAGGTAGATGAGAGGGT